AGAACATTCTTTAGTTTTCCTAAGTTGGTTAAATCTTACTAAGATGGTATCTCAGGAATTCTAACACTTACGAGGTATAGCCTGCTCAACGTCAGTAAAAATTAGAGCTACGCGACCCCCTGTGGCTAGTCAATAATATTGCACCTCTAGAATCTGAATGAGTTGGAGCAGAATGTTAAGCGATGCCTCACTTAACATGGTCATGGTCATGGTCATACTCAGAGACACCACATCATGAGTGGAGAGGACAGAGAACATGCCAAGTCAGAGGTGGCTACCCAGATTTCTAAACGAATTATTCATGTAGCCTATTGAAGATTGTTTTAGCTCCACGTTTGACGTTACTGTATCCTGTACCGCAACGGGATAGATGAACCCCAATTCAGAATAGACGGCATGTGCCAGGTCTGCACACACAATTATTTGTCTTCAAACTCTCTGGAAGTTCTTTCCAGAGGATGGTGCAGAGAGCCCTCCCCCCATCTGTAATTTTGTAGGGAACTTAATAAGCAATGATACCAACCATGACGATGATATTAACATTTATGGGGCACTTGCCACTTGCCAGGCACTGCTCTGCGAACTTCCAGGGGTTATTTCCTTCATGCCTCACAGCAACCACAGGTGACGGGGTCATTGTCGTTCTACCGTTCAAGGAATAGGCAGTCACAGAAGCTGTGACTTCCAAACTGAAAGGCACGAAGTGGCAGCCTCAGGATTCGAATCCTGATCATCTGACTCCACCAGAGCCTGTGGTCCTTACTCTGTTCCTCTGTGTGCACGGGAGCTTCCAAAGTCTTTTGGACAAAGTTACCCTTGTTCTCTGTGTTTTGATAATTCCGCAAAGGGACAGGAAACAGGCCAGGGATTTTCAGGTGAGAGGTCGTTCAACAGAGCTGCCTCCCTGGAGCGGTGTTTGTTGAACTTGCACGTGCTTCAGAGTCACTTGGAGGCTTTGATAGAACGATGCACCAGGCCCCACTCCTGAGATTTTGGATTTCTGAGAACGGATACCCAGAGGCTGGCGCTGCCGCTGCTCATCCAGTGACCACATGGAGAATTACTGCCCTGGAGCCCCCCTGGCAGACAGCTCTCCAGTGTCTTGAGCAGAACCCCCAATAGCGGGCTCACTGCGCCCCAACAGTGCCAGATCCAGACCCTGTAAGTGCTCGTCCGCTGCACGCGGCATTCCGGGAAACCTTAAAGCAAATTACTGTCCTCCTCCGCCTCTCACTTTCCTTGTCTGTAAAGGAGGCTGAACTAAAGGTGTATCAGTTCTAACATTCCATGATCTAAATGAAATAGAGTCTAGAACCTGGTAAGGAGGTTAATATCGTGAAAATATCAGGTTGCCCTATTCATCCCATCACTTGGTAAGTGGAGCTGAGTATACAAAAGTACAGATGGACAGATGGGCTTTTAACTCTTGTTCACCATGGCCTGGCTCTGCCAGCAGGGCTGGTTCCTTAAAAGGAAGGCCAGTCTCAAATCACTTAACAGGTATCCTCATTTATTATACATTCTTAATGCCTCACATGGGGCCTGGTGAGTAGCAGATGCTCCATGATGGCTAAGAGGGAGAGAGGGATGGATAGATGAATGGGTGGATGGACAGATAAATGGATGAGAGAGATAAGTGGGTGGGGAGATGGGATGGATGAGATTGGTAGGCGGGTTATGAGATGGGATTGCCTATACTGACCAGTAGACAGCATGGAATGAAAGAATGCTAGGTTGGGAGAGACGGATGTCACCCAGCTGTGCTTAAACCTAACAAACCTAGAGCTGGGGTTATCTACGTATGCGGGAGTCCACCGTTGTCTATCATCAGTACAACCAAAGTTGGGTAAAGCTTCAGTCCTTTACCACCAAGTGTATTCTTGCATGGAAGTTCCCTTGTGTCACTATTACGTTGGAGACCAATCTAAATAACTCTTGTTCTCCTCAGATGTTTTCAAGCTCCATAGGCAAGTGGGGTTGTAAATGGTACATTAAATGGGGATAAAGAGCCTAAAGGCAATTGCCTGATTTGTAGAAAAGGTATTGGGCTCAGATTCAGGAAACCTCGATTCTAAACCCACATCAGTTAATAACTTCCGGACGTCACGGAACCTGTTTTCCCTCATTCTGTTGTGTTAATCCCAGAATCCTTGAAGAATCCTTTTATCAGGCAAAGAGAATTCAAAGGGCTTGGGGGGCCTGAAGACTGCCAGGCACCCTCTCCCATTTACTAGAACCCGACCTTGTGCCAAGGATTTCACAGGCATCACCCCCATATAATCATCGCAATAGCCCTGTGTCTTAGGTTTTACTGTTCCAGTGTTATGGTTGAGGAAATTGGGGCTTATAGAGGTTAGATAACTTGCCTGAGGTCTCTGAGCTAGTTAGTGACAGAGCTGGGATATGCACCCCTCGCACTGTGACCCTGGAGGCCATGCCCTTAAATTGCATTTCACCGTCTCCAAGCGAAGACCTTTCTCATAACCCAGCTCGTGATACAGCTGCGGTGTGAATGGAAACAATCCCCCATGGCTTCTGGTTGAGCGTGGTGGAAGGTGGGGAGAGGCCGGGGAGGTGGGGAAGCTCCTGGTGGGACAGAATTAGCCTAGAAGATGGGGATTAACAAGGCACCCCTGTATGTTATACACACACATGTAAGGGTTTAAAAAGAGGCAGCCTCTTTCCCGGAGGTTCAAGTGCTTTTCCCAATCACACGCTGAAAACCTAAGCTACAGTCTGTATATTCGGAAATCACAGTGTTGCTTATGGCAACGCAACCAGACAGAGCACTGCTTTGCCCACCTCAACCTGCTGGCTTGAGAAGCGCGTTCCTAGCGTGTGTGCACACCAAGCCTCAGGCCTCCCACTGGCTGCGGAGAGGGCTAGGGCCAGTGGGCCCCCTACCACCACCCCGTGCTGCAGGGAAGGAGTCTGAGATCTCGACTGCCAGGTTGCCCCTGGGTGCCCTCACCTCCCGGAGAGCAGAAATACCGGTCACCGTGTAGACCACCAGGCAGGCACAGACCCCCTTAGAGAGGCAGCTGGGGCTGCATGAGGAGGGATAACCTGAGCGTGAGGCTCTCCCGATGCCCACTTCCTCCTCCCGTGTACCCGTTCCCTAGGCCTGCCATAACCACCGTGCCACCATCTGGGTGGCTTAAAGGACAGAGGTGTGAGGCTACGTGTCTGAGATCAAGGTGTCAGCGGGGTTGCCGCCTTCCGAGGACTGTGAAGAACGTTCCAGGCCTCTCCTCCAGAGCCTGCTGTTTCGCCAACAATTCTTTGTCATTCCTTTGCTCCTGCTGCCTCACCCTGACCTCTGCCTGCATCTTCGCATGGTTTCTCCCTGCTGTGTCCAGATTTCTCCTTTTTATAAGAACATCAGTCATATTGGATTACGGGCCCACCCTACAGCAGTATGACTTCAACTTAACTAATTACATCTTCAGGACCCCTATTTCCAAATGAGCCCACATTCTGAGGCACTGAAGGGTTAGGGCTTTATCACGTGCACTTGGTTGGGGAGCGGGGGGGGGACACAGTTCACCCTGTAAGGTTCCATTTCACTGAGCATCCACCGTGTGAGGTACCAAGAAGCAGTTCCAGTTCCGGGGCAGCTCCCCCTGTGGCACATGCACGAGAAGCTCCTCTGTAGGGAAGCCCGGGATCCCCACCATCTGAGTAGGCCGTGTGGTAAAAGCTGCCTGACTTCAGAGGACAGGGCTGTCTCTGTGTATGGGGGTGGGGGGGGGGGGCCTCAGGCAACCTGTGAATTGGATCTTGGTAGCTCATAGGAATCCACAAGTGGAGACGGCAGAGAAGGCTTCCCAGAAGAGATAACAGGAAGAAGAAAATCACGTGGGCCCTGGAACTTACCTGGCGGTCCAGTGGGTTCGCCCCCTGGTCGGCAAGGTAAAGTCCCCCATGCCGTGCAGCACGGCCCAAAAAAAAAAAAGCACGTGGGCCCAGAAGCACAAGAAATGACCTGGAGAGACATGTCACTTGACTGTCCCTAGCTACTTTCCAGACTCTAGTATGATACGTGTCACGCCAACAGGACACCTGGCCCGACACCAAAGGGCTTCAAAAGTAGGAGAGTTGACACTTTGCCTGGGTGTCAGACTGTCCTGCCGCCACCCTGACCAAACTGTCACCTTCCCCCTGTCACTCCCTCTGGGCCCACACCACACAGCTACCATCTTTTACAAAGGCCTATGGGAGTCTGCACCTGCTCTTCTGTAGCAAATGACCTCAGGTGTCTAGTGTCCCCAGCACAGGCTTGTGTGGCCTGTTCAGGTGCCAGTAGGATGAGGGCTATGTGGATACTGGGTCGTGTCACCATTTAACTCACCTATTCCTTAGAGAAATATGATTTTACACAAAGCCCACGGAGCTCCTGATGTGCTACAAGGTTGCACTGGGACCCTACCCTGTGCCTGTCCATTATGGCCCTGGATGGGCATTTCCAAAGTGCCTGGAGCATCTTCCATCTGGCTTTACATCTCCTCGGAGGTCAGTGCCCAGCCCCGGTCTGTGACCCTGCCTGGCCTGGCAGTACTCCCTTTGAACAGCTGGATTATCAGAGGTGATAAAAACCAGCTTCGTGAGCCCTGCACCCGAGTCCCATTGCCTGGGCTTGGGGGATAATTTACGGCGTGTGAACGTTGGCCCTTGGAGGGGAGTGTAAGTCATGTCAGGTTGATAAAGCCTGCCTCATGGTAAAAGGGCCACTGTTGACTTTTTCACAATGAAAGAGAAAGGTGCTAGGATGCCTAAATGGAAACAGCTGAGCCCAGAGTGTAGCGGGGGAGCCCCTCCCCATGTCCCCGCTGCCCCAGGCATGCTGTCGGTGACCCAAGAACTGTAAAATTGCCAGCCCACATCCCTCGCACGTTTCAGCATCAACCAGTCCGCCTGGAACTGCCCTTCTTGACACGGTCTCCCTGGGTCTGGATGTCCCCCAGCCTCCCAGGCAGACCCCAGCCCATCTTCTCTCTCAGGGCACGATGAGAAGGTGGAGAACGCAGTGAGAGCCGGCACCTGCTGCGCCACGTGCAAGGAGTTTCACCAGATGAAGCAGACGGTGCTGCAGCTGAAGCAGAAGGTATGTGCCGGGCGTGTTAGAAACGATCGCGTAAGATGAAAGGAAGGCCTGGTGGAGGCAAAGTGGAGGAACATCTGAAAACAATAAGAAAATGTCATCCACAGCCTCACTGGGTATTCTCTGAGCTTGGTGCCAGCTAGGTTTGGCCTGGGACACTTTGCCCACCCACCTTTGGAGCTCATTATCTATAGCTCAACAGAACAACGAAGGCAGGGGATTGACCAGGTGACTAGTAGAATAGACCACTAGGTAAGGGGCACGTGGTGAAGCAGAGGGTGAGGTACGACTAGTGTGACTTTTTGGGAAATGAACATCCAGACACGTGGCCCTTACACAGTTCTAAATAGAATACGGTAGAATCATTTGCCTATGTTTCATCAATAGAGAACATCTTCTCTATAAACGTTCACCACTGGTGATGCCTTTCTGTAGCAGCTTTATTTTTCACATTTAAAAGTTACGACCTGTGCTCTCTGGGCTCCACACACCACAGAAAGCAGCTGCTCAGATACCCGGTGTCACCAAGGGTGAGGACTGACTCTCTTTGTCAGGCTCCCACGCATGCCTGACAGCATCATGTTTCTGGTAACATTGCTGTGCCATGAGTAATGCCCCTGGGATGTGCCTAGTGCCCTGAAAGCTTAAGCAACTGTCCTGTGCCCGGGTCAATGGTGTTTATCATACCTGAGGTCAGTGAATTCACCAGTGTGTCGGCAACTCAGAAACTGCTCTTACGCTTGTAAAACGTAAACTTGCTGGTTTGTTTGTTTAATTGCTTCCCCTCAAGGCTCTTAGTACATCAAAGAGGTGTATATAATCTGTTTAACTTTGGCATCTAGTCATTGTAAAGGGCAGCAGGGTAAGGTTAGACAGTATTGCTTTTCACGTGTTCAACAAACATGCAGGCAGCCCCTAATGAGATCCACAGCTTCCAGTGGAACAGGCAGGTCAATAGGCTGAGAAGATAAATGGCTTTGCGGGCCTTTGGTACGTTGGTAGTGAAGATCTAGCAACTTTAGCAGAGCCATAAATGTGTATGATGTAGATTCCAAATAGCTTGTGATCCAATAGAGAGACCGGGCAGAAAACCTTGCAAGTATATCAATATAAATTCAGAGTTATCAATAATACATCCCACACAGATATTCTCACGTTGGACCTGGATTGATATTAGTATTTACTGAGCGAGTCTGAAAAAGGGTTCGTGGAAGAGGTTTGCATTTCATAGGCCAGAGGGTTCGGGCCTGGGGGAGGCAGTTGATGAATATCTCAAGGCCTAAGGCTACCCTCTGTTTTCTTCTCTGAGGGTCAGTAATCCAAGAGCTATGGGGAAGCTCCTTCCAGCCTGAATGTTCTTTAGGGTCAGTGACGCTAAGTCTCACTAGTTCAGAAATTCAGTTGCTAATTCAATATCTGGCTTTCCCTTAACCTCCCCGCAGTGTTTTACAATCCATGAAAGAAGAAATGTTACAAAAAAGTTGAACATTTTATGTTACCCTTAAAGCCCTTGCGGCAGAGCTACACACAGATCCAATAACGATACTTGTTAGTACTCCAGTAACTCTCCTGCACCGGGGTTGGCCTGGAATTGATCCACCTTAGACCGATTTCTCCTACAAGTGCATTGTGTCAAGTCTGGGCTAAAGCTGGCATTCAAGGAACGTCACAAGAAACAACGCATTTTTAAAGGCGCCTAGTAGAACGTGTCACATTCTGCAGTTGATAAAGCCGTTTTATATCCAGGATCCCATTTAATTCTCACCATGATGCCAATATTGGCAGAGAGGTGCGGTGTCAGCCCAAGACGCAGGCCAGACCCTAAACCCTAGGTCTCCTCGCTGCTGCTCCTGTGCTGGTGTGGGGCTTGTCCGTTGATTTTTAACTTCCTCTCACTACTGCTGATGCCATCTGTTCTGTTCAAAAAAGAACATGGGACAGCTGCCCAAATAAACATTGGCTCAGAAGTAGGTTACCGGGTGTCCTGGACCGTGGCCAGCCCCATAGTATAAAACGGTATGCAGACATGTTGAACAACACCATGAGTGTATAGTCAGCAAAATCCCAACCGTGTGAAACTCTTCAGGGCCAATGCCCTGTGTTCTTCAGTGGGTAAATTCTAAGAAAAGTGGAGCAGCGACCTGCAGCTTAAAAGCAGCTTAAAAGACATACTGTTTTTTTCAAGTGGGCAAGACTAGACTGTAGTGTCTGGGCCTGCCCTGTTGGGTTTGATAAATTATTTTTTTAAAACACAGGAAGTGATTAAAATCAGAATAGTAGTTACTTGGCGGGGAGGGAGGGAGAAGGCTGTGACTGAGTCAAGGCATGTAGACAAAGTTCTGATTTTTTTTTTTGGCTGCACTGCATGGGGGATCTTAGTTCCCCCACCAGGGATCGAACCTACGCCCCCTGCAGTGGAAGTGCAGACTCTTAACCACTGGACCACCAGGGAAGTCCCTGACAAATTTCTGATTTTTGACTTAGGTGTTCATTAAAAGGGTGTTTGCCTTATAATAATTTGCTAAGATATAGATTTGTTTTGTGGGGTTTCCAGATTCTGTGCCTTTATTTTCCGGTGAAAAAGTTTTTTTGAAATGATGTGCAGATCCCAGTGCCTTCACCTCTACAATTTCTTCTGTGTTTTGGGAAGGAAAAAAACAACCAAACAGGCGATTTGGCTAAAAAGAGAATTTGGGGTATAGATAAAATACCCATCATTTGACTTGCAGAGAGGGGTCTCTGTCCCATCAGAACACTGAAGAAAAATCTGAGCCAAGGAGCCAGTTGTTTTTTTTTTAAATAAATTTATTTATTTTTATTTATTTATTTTCCATCACGTTGGGTCTTCGTTGCTGCGTGTGGGCTTTCTCTAGTTGCGGCGAGTGGGGGCTACTCTTCGTTGCGGTGCGCGGGCTTCTCATTGCAGTGGCTTCTCTTGGTGCAGAGCACGGGCTATAGGCGCACGGGCTTCAGTAGTTGTGGCACGCGGGCTCCTGTAGTTGTGGCTCGCGAGCTCTAGAGCGCAGGCTCTGTACTTATGGCGCACGGGCTTAGTTGCTCCACAGCATGTGGGATCTTCCAGGACCAGGGATCGAACCCGTGTCCCCCTGCATTGGCAGGCGGATTCTTAACCACTGCGCCACCAGAGAAGTCCCAAGAAGCCAGTTTTTAATTTATTTTTTTATTTTTTACTGGTATGAAGAAATTTTTTTTTCAGGTATGACTTTTTTATTGAAACATAGTTGATTTACAATGTTATATTGGTTTCAGGTGTTCAACATAGTGATTCAATATTTTTATAGTTTATACTCCATTTTAAATTATTATGAAATATTGGCTATATTCCCTGTGCTGTGCAGTATTTCCTTGCAGCTTACTTATTCTATACATAGTAGTTTGTACGTCTTAATCCCCTGCCCCTATTCTGCCCCTCCCCGCTTCCCTTTCCCTGTGTTAACCGCCAGTTTGTTCTCCGTATCTGGGAGTTTGTTTCCATTTTATTATATTCGTTCATTTGTTTTACGTTTTAGATTTCACATATAAATGATAACACATTTGTCTTTCTCTGACTTAACTTTACTTAGCATAATGCCTTCCAAGTCCATCCATGTTGTTGCAAATGGCGAAATTTCATTCTTTTTTATATATCCAAAGAAAACAAAAATGCTAATTCAAAAAGATGCATGCACCCCAGTGTTCATAGCAGCATTATTTACAATAGCCAACGGAAGCAACCTAAGTGTCCATCAACAGACGAATGTGTAAGGAAGATGTGGTGTATATATACACAATGGAAGGAGCAAGTTTTTAATAGGTCCCTGTGTTCCTGCAGCAGGGGTGATCTGAGTTGAGAGCAGCACTGCTGCGGAGCAGCTGAGGAAGTGAGAGTGTTTGTTGAGCGCCCGCTCTGGCCTGTGATGGGCTGGGAGGTGACGAATGACGCGAACGGACAGAATAAAGGCCTGCCTTAAATAAGCTTCCTGGCTTAGCTGGGAAACCAAGCCCACAGTGGAGATAACACAATGGCCGAGTGGAGTGGGGCAGGCAGTGGAGGCTTTAGAAGTTAGAGGTCAATGCGATTTCAGAAGTGTGAGCAGATGTGCAACCTGACAGCTGCGTTTGTTCACTTCAGTGCTGCCTTTAGTGCTGGGCAAATAGATGGCTTCTCAGTGGTTCATGGTTTCCTCTGCTACCTTGATCTAGTTGCTCTGTAAAATGGGTCTTCTCAGGATGGCTGGGAAGACTATTCTATATGAAAGTGACTGTAGATTGCTTTGCCAAGTATCATGAGTAGTATTAAGAGGGGCAGCTGGGTGTTGTGGCGAGGACCACAGATTCCAGAACCAGACTGGCTAAGTTTAAGTCCTAGCCCCACTACTTCCTGGCTGTGTGACCCTGGGTAAGTTACTTAACCTCTCTGTGCCTCAGTTCTAGAGAAAGTGGATAACGGTGATACATACTACCTAGGGTTTTCATGATGATCAAATGAGTTAATATTTGTAAAGGACTTAAAACAGTCCCTGCCACCTAGAAAGAGCTCTGTAAATGTGTACCAAATAAATAATAAACATGAATTATATGTCCTAATAAAGTGCTTTACAGGCAGCATCTGATTCGTCCCAACAGCCCTGTGAGGTAGGTATTTTTATTACAAAGGCTAATACGAGATAATGATATTCATAATTCCACTGACTGGAATCCAGGAGAAATGCAGACTCTTCATGCAGACTTCTTCCCAAACACCTGCACCCCTCAAGCCTGTCGTCTGCTGTGTTTGGGTAGACGGTCAAGCCAGGATTTCTGGAGGGCCACCTCTAAAACGCCAGTGCCTTTACATTCCTCTCATCCTGCTGACACACAGAGGAACTGGCAGGAAGCAGGATGTAATCAACCAGCAGGAGGTCAGCCAGGAAGCTGAGGTCAGCGTTTACTGGGTCACCTCCTGACTTTTACAAGGGAGCAAAGAGAGCTGGAGAGGGCCCAGGGTGGGTGGGGACTAATCTCTGAAGTCCCTCCACGTGCCGGTCTCATCCTCCAAGCTTGCTTACAGAATTTTACATCCAAAGACTTGATAAGCATGAAGGTGAGAACCTGGAAGGGTGAAGGGACTTACCCAAAGTCATCCCGCTATTTAGAAACAGAGCCAGGAGCATCCCCTCAACCCCTGACCCCGTCCCACCCCGAAGAGCATTTGCACTGTGTCCACGGCCCTGGCTGCTGGCGGTTACTAGTCTGGGCGCTGGGCCAGGCACATTCAGGACATCGTCACTTTCATCCTCCCAGCAGCCCTTCTTAGGTGGATATTACGATCCTCATGTTATGGATGAGATAATCAGTTCTATAGCTTATCAAGATCCCACAGGTAGAACGTGGCAGGGCTGAGATTTAAACATAGATCTACCTAATGCCAAAACCCACAGATAAAATTCACATTTTAGTTTTTCTCTTGGAAGCAGATAATAAAATTGAACCAGGCTTCAAGGGCCAATGTTGACCCTCTGTCCTCTAGTTAGAGTAGTTTTGCTTCTAAATTCTCCTCACTCAGGGGTTCGCCCCCGTTCCACCCCAGGACCCAGCATGCAGTCACAGATTGGAGTGGCCTCTCGCTGTGACACAGTGACGCCAGCACCGTTATAAATAAACCCCTGGGACGTAGCTGGGTCCTGGCAGTGACATTGAACCGTGAACCCTGACCTGAAATTGTGCAAAGCTGGCTTTCAGATTGCGCAAGTTTGTAATTCTTATCGTTTTCCCTACTGAATTCTAAACGATGATCATAGGGGAATTGAGTGTGTTTCCTTGCATCTTTCGGGGAACACTGGGTCTTCTCAAAGCGCAGAAGAAGGCTGTTTATCTGGAACGCACTGGATGGTCAGGAATCTTCTAGCTCACGGACCTGCAAGGCTGTCCTTACCCAAGGATTTTCATACTAGCTAAGGGGCTCCAAAAGCACTGAGGGACCCTTCGGAAGAGAGTGTCGGTGCTTCTTTGAGCTTCCTGCCCTCTGAGCATCCTTGCACCGTGAACTGAATGGATTTCAGTAAGAACTCCAAGAAAAGGAAAGAAAAAAAAAAAAAAACTGGAGGAATTTCCAGCCAGAGGAGGATCCTAGGCTCAAATAGGCCACCTAGGGCAGCTGAAGCAGAGAAAAGACCTTGACCCAGGAGAGCCTGACGTGTGCTCTGCAGGTGAGCGAGGGGGGTGGACAGGAGGAGCAGGGCAACACCTCAGGCCTCGTGACCCTGCCCTTTCTGTGTGACAGGCTGCAGGGATACCGCCAGAACCCTCTCGTGGTTTCCCACCGGTTTCACCTTTTAGAAACATTACAAGCACTTCATTAAGGGGCTAATGGGATACAGGACTTGGACAGTCACCTTGCAGAGAGCTGGAAGAATTTGTTCTCCGTCAGATGTAGCAGGTACAAGTCGTTTGCCAACATACAGACCACGTATTATTGTGATGTTCGCTTTTCATTAATACTGGATTTCTTCTGTTAGCAAGAACATCTGTCTCTGTAACTAAGAAAAATCATCGCTTCTACACCTGCCTCAAGATGGCCCCAAACCCAGCAGCCCCCCAGCAGGAGAAGGGGATCTTGGGGCAGGGGTGTCCTCCAGAGTCATGTTTCGAAATAGTCATGCTAATCATTCCCAAACCTCCATGCTCAGAAACAGACACCAGTGCAGGAGGCCGAGGACTTTATGAAGCCAGAGGAGGTCATCTGGACAGCAGAACTTTCCCAAGCCTCCCAGTGCCATTCACACACTGGTCTCTTAGCTGCAGTTCAGTAGATAGATTTTGTAGTTTCCCCGTAAATTCCTCGGACCTAGGCTTGGGGGTTCAAGATCTCACAATCATCTTTTACTCCACCTCCCTGCTCTGTTACTATCAATCCAGGTGCCCTGAGACCCCAGGGGTTATTTGTGTGGCGTGGTTGAACTCAACCGGGACTGTCTAGTCTCCCTGGGGCAGGAGGAAATCCGTAGGGAAGAAAAGGAGAGGTGAGAAATGCTGACTTGCCCATGAAGTAGGAAAGTAAAGAAAACTCTAGGGTTTTTCTTTCTTTTTTCAATTTTTCATTTCATTTTTATTTATTTATTTATTTTTGGCTGCATTGGGTCTTTGTTGCTGCGCGTGGACTTTCTCTAGTTGCAGCGAGCGGGGTTCTACTCTTCGTTGCGGCGCACAGGCTTCTCACTGCGGTGGCTTCTCTTGTTGCAGAGCACAGGCTCTAGGTGCATGGGCTTCAGCAGTTGCAACACGTGGGCTCAGTGGTTGTGGCACGTGGGCTCAGTAGTTGTGGCACACAGGCTTAGTTACTCTGTGGCATGGGGGATCTTCCCAGACCAGGGATCGAACCCGTGTCCCCTGCATTGATTGGCAGGCGGATTCTTAAACACTGCACCACTAGTCCCCAACTCCACGGTTTTTCAAATCAACATTCAGTTCTATATTTCTTATCACCAAAAGCTGTAGTAATCTGGAGTTGACATAAGCCTCAGAGGGAGAACTTGCACAATTTCTAATTTAGCACTCTGTGCTGATGCTGAACCCACAGAGCACAACTCTGTCACAGTGGCAGTTGGCCACCTCTGATCACAAACAGGTGGTAGGAAACTCTCTCCGCAGCTCAGATCCGAAGATGGGTGTAGAGCCTCGGAGCGCTCCATGGGCAGGGATGAGATATCCACGGACCTTCTCGTAGCTTGCATTGCCCTCTGGCCAGAGGGTCCCCAAGCAGGGCCTCGTCCAGGAGGACGTGGGTGACAAATGCAACTTGCTTCAGAAAATCGCAGTGATACTTGGTTTCTGTGGGACTCCAGGATCCCAAGTGAATCCTCTGGGGGTAGCTCTGAGCCTCAAAAATGCAGTCTCCACTGGATTTTACACCCCTGAATCAGCTTCCTGGAAGGAAGAGACTAGAACTACCATTTATCAAGCACTTAGTACATTTCAGGTCCTGTGCTGGGCACCTGATACACACTGCCGGTGTAATCCTCATGTCTTAATGGTGGGCGTCATCAGTGAGGAAATGGACATTAAGAACGGCAGTTCTTACCAAGGGTCTCACTGATTCCTGACCTCAAGGAATGCAAAGGTCATTCACGTGTGTGGTCCCTCTGGCTTCCCCTAGAATGAGCTTCTGAAATCAGAGAGAGAGAGGCAGGGAGCCATGGTGCCTTTTATGACCTTATCTCAGAAATTACACACCGTCACTTTTGTCATTTTCTATTCATTAGAAGCAAGTCCCTAAGCACAACCCACACTCAGAGGGCAGAAAATTAGCCTCCACCTTCTAAAGGGAGGAGTGTCCAAAAATTTGTGGACATATTTTAAAACCATCACAGTCACTGTTTCCCAAACACCCGAGCGTACACGTGACCTGTAAATCATATTTTCCATCCTGGCTCCCAAGGCGGAGATCTGTAAGAGCTGGGACCATGTCTTGTTCACTGTTGTCGCCTTAGAACGAAGCACAGGGCCTGGCACGTAGTAGTTTCTCAAATATTTGAGACGTGAGTTCTTAATAAAAGTCTGAAACAGGTGGATTGTATTAATTATGACGATGATGAGTCTAATGATATCTAGACAGACTGGAACTGATCCAGGTTCACCCACTAACCAACCAGCGGAGTGATCTTGTACAAGTTGTTTTGACTAGAAGGCCTCCGGATTTATGAGGAGGATCTCTACAGTCCGTCTGCACTCTGACTGGCTCGGATAAAGGCATATGCACAAGATAAGGCTCTGTGGCTTCTGCCAGGGCATTCCCTGGCAGTGGGGCTGTCGGTGCTTCCTGACCCAAGTTCCTCTTCTCTTTGCAGATTGCCCTGCTACCCAACAGCGCTGCGGACCTGGGCAAGTACATCACTGGTGACAAGGTGCTGGCCTCAAATGCCTACATTCCAGGACCTCCTGGCCTGCCTGGGGGCCAGGGCCCCCCTGGTGAGTATAAAGAAGGGCATAAAAGCATAGAGTGAAAGCAAATAGCATAAAAGGGTGATAGGATCACCAGCCAGGGCCTGCCGAGAGCTCACCTTTAGTTGGGGGGTGCGACAGAGTTTTTTTTAGCTCCCATGGATGGGAGCAGAAGCCGGGGTCCAGTGAGTCCCATGCCCGTGTGCCAAGAGGGCCTCGGGGAATTGGGTCAAGCCTGAGAAACCCTTCTAACCAATAATAACCAGGGAGAAAAAAATTATTGTCCTGGGTTTGGACAAGATTCATAAAGATCATCTTAAGTTACAGAGAAACAAAATGAAAACTATTTTTAACACTAACATATATGAACGTAGCATGGCGTAATGAACTCCTGTGGGCTCATCGCCCGGTGCTAAAACCTTATGGCCAGCCTCATTGCCACTCTTCCCCAATCCTGTCTCCTCCTTCCCCTGTTATTTGTGAACACACTTACATTGATATTTATTTTGCTATCTATCTCTATGTTTTCCTTTAAAAGTCAATCTCATTGAGATACAATTCTATACAATAAACTGTACACACTTAAGATACAGTTGGACGAGTTTTGACAGATGCATACACCCTATATCAAGCACTTACTAACCACCACCCTATATCTGGTCTACATCAAGGTGTAGAACCTCTCCATCATCCCAGAGAGTTCCCTTGTGCCCTTGGCAATCTACATCCTCAGCTCTGGGCAGTCACTGACCTGCTTTCTATTGCTGCAGTTCTGTCTGTTCCACAACTTCATAGAAAGGAATCTATTCCTTCTGTCTGGCTTCCTCCGCGTACTGTTTTGGAGATTCACCCTTGTTACTCTGAAGAAAATTGCAAATATCCTATCATTCCGTCAGGCAATACACAATGAGAACTTTAAAAAATAACAACAGGATGTTCTCTGTTTTGTTAGGAGTCCCTCCGTAGATAGATCAATACTTCTTTCTTCACACCAGTGAAGGAAATGATATTAGTGTTAACGAATGACTCTAAGACATGGATGTCTTATCCCTCATGCTCATCGCTTAGCAGTGTGCTAGGTGTTGTGAATGACCTCCTGACATTCTAACGAGGATGACAAGACACATAAAGTGAAAGCAAATAGAATAAACAGTACCTGCCTGCCCCCAAGTAAAGTATGCAGGTGCTTCCTGCTGTGGAAGCTTAAGGAAGAGAGAGATCACTGTAGCCTGCAGTGGTCAGGGGACTTGGGGTTTGAGCTGGACCTGGAAGAACACAAGAGGTAGGATTGGTCCAAGCACAGAGGACACAGGCAGATTTTAGGCTGGAAGGTCAGCAAAAACAAAGGCTCAGAATGCTTCCCAAACTATATGTTTTCTTCTCCACTTATATCTCCATCTCCTGGTTTCCATCAAAACCAGGTGGCCTGGGTCTCAGTCTGTACAGAGACCAAGAACTGGTCCAGGACTTTGGTTTCTCCTCTCGTTCACTCTTTTGGCCTCTGGGTCATGGTTGAGTTTTCTCCAGCAGATGCCACACACAGGCAGCCTCTTGCTGCTTCTAAGTAGACTTGGGTCTCTCCTTACAAACTGATTGTTTGCAGTGTTCTCCATCCCTTCTCTAAGAGAGTGTTCTCGCTCTGCTTCCCTGGAGGAAGTTCATCCCCCCAGGCCAGCCTACCTGTCACTTCAACAAGGACAAAGTAGGAACAGAGGAGCCACTGGCTTCTTTCTTCTTCTTTTTTTTTATTTTTAACATCTTTATTGGAGTATAATTGCTTTACAGTGGTGTGTTAGTTTCTGCTTTATAACAAAGTGCATCAGCTATACATATACATATGTTCCCATATCCACTCTCTCTTGCGTCTCCCTCCCACCCTCCCTATCCCACCCCTCTAGGTGGCCACAAAGCACCCAGCTGATCTCCCTGTGCTATGCGGCTGCTTCCCACTAGCTATCTATTTTACATTTGGTAGTGTATATATGTCCATGCCACTCTCTCACTTAACGAATGACTTGCTAGCTTTCCTTTCCAGTTCTGCCATCTGGTTTCTAGCACGGTTTGAGCTGTCCAGGGTCCTTGCTGGAGCAGGGAGTGATTGAGGACTAGCTTTGGCGATGGGCTATGCCCTTGTTTTCTCCTCCAGTCCTTATTCCTTCTCTCTCCTTACTTCTAGCATCATAGTTTGTGATGCACTCATTTGAGATGTGTTAGGGCAACTAGAGAGATAATAAGATTTCTCTTACCCTTAACTAAAATTCCAGTCCTGGAGTCTGTGATAAATCACAGCCTGGGCCACCAATACAGGAAGCTCTACTAGGCTGGAATCCTTTGGCTTTGGTGTTGAGGGAGTGGCTACTGTTCTGTGCCCCCCACTGTTCCTTTATAAGGTGCTGACGTTTGTACATCAAAGCCCCACACTTTAAAGGCACTTGACATAGCGATCTCTGAAGTTCATTGACTGTGTAAATGAAGGTGAGATATTACCTCTGGCCTGTCCTTGTGCTATCAGAGGTAAAGTATTTATATTTTATATAATATAATATATTATATTATATTTATATTCAGAGTTATAAGAGGGATCTGGTCCCCTTCCCAGATGAACTCTTTCATCTGGTACCTGGAACCAGCATTTAGGGGGTGAGGTGAGAGACATACTTGGATGGAACATTGACTGAAATATAATATATTTATTATATATTATATTATATAAAATATAATAAATATATTATATTTATATTCAGAGTTATAAGAGGGATCTGGTCCCCTTCCCAGATGAACTCTTTCATCTGGTACCTGGAACCAGCATTGAGAGTAGGGGGTGAGAGACATACTTGGATGGAACATTGACTGCCTTTTATGTTGGCTCAATTATTTTGTGAGCTATAAAAGACGTCCCCAAACATGATAAGTTTGAAGTCTTTGTTTTGTTTTGTTTTCTGGTGCCTGAAAGCCATTCCATCCTATCACTGTGCTCTGCCGATTGTAGGAGCTGCGTACGATCAAGAAGTAATTACTGTGTGCGTTTGAAAGAGAGGAATCATTATAGCACTAAGGAATACATCGCTGAGGAATAATTATAGCACAGCAATCAGCCCAGCCTCTTCATTGCAGTCATTTGACATGACACATTTACTAAGCAGCCTTCTCTGTACCTGGGCCTCTCTGAGCATGTGCCGACGACTAAGATATAACCCATGCCCTCATAAAGTTGACAGGCTAAAATGGGTTAAAACACAATATCCTTCCCTATGCAAAAGAATGAAGTTAGACTCTTGCTTTACACCATATACAAAATGGATTAAAGACCTAAATGTAAGACCTGAAACTATAAAACTCCTAGGAGAAAACATAGGCAAAAACTTTCATGACATTAGATTTGGCAGTGACTTCTTGGATATGACTCCCAAAGCACAGATGACAAAAGCAAAGAGAGACCTGAAATTCCCTCATCTGTTCAGGCAAGCTGTCTATTCCTCTAGCACCTTTAGCATACGCTGTGATTTTAAAGTCCCTGTATGATAACCTTAACATCTGGGTCGCCTCTAAGTCTCATTCTGTTGATTTCTCTGTCTCTTGAATGGGGGCTGTTTATTCGGGGAGGGGGTTGGGTTTTGTTTGGTTTTTGGTTTTTTATAATGTGCCTCAAAATTTTGAACTGAATGCCCGATACCATTCAGAGAGGACCAGTAGAGACTGGGGGACAAAGTAATTACTTCTGGAGATGGGTATCCAGGCTGCTGGCAAGAAGAATTGGGTCAATCTAATGAATAACTGAGCCAGGTTTGGGTGTGTTCTCACCGTCTCTACCTCTAGTGTTCCACAGTCTTCAAGTTTTCAAATTCCTCCGATGGCAGGATACTGTTACTCTATGTTTAGTGGGGGCCTAGGGTGCCGGTGGGTGTTTCTCAGTGGTTCTCAGCTTTCAGCAGCCCCTGCACAGCTGTGCCACTCTGAGCTCCTCTCTCCACGTTCTTGCTGTTCTCCAGTGGGAGACTGCTGTGACTTACTACTCCGAGGTTGAGCTGTGGAGCTCCAGGATTTTTCAGTTCTCCTCGTCCAGCTGCAGCCCTAAGCATGAGCTGGGCATCCAGGCATTAGGGTAAGGTCTTCTCCCCACCTGCGGCAGCCCAACTCTGGCTTGTATCCATGGCAGATCTTGAGCCGGAGAGTTTGCTGCCCCTCCTCTAATAGTAATAGCCATCCCCCTGGGTCCTGCAGGAGATTTGCCGCCCCACGTCAGTGGCTTGAGGCTTTTGCCCCAAACGGTTGAAAGTAGGAAAGTTACACAGTTAAGACTTGTTCAGAAATAATATTCACATAGAGGTGTGAAGAACAGGTGAGGGGTGAACAAGACTGATGGGAAACAGAGGGACTCGCTCTGAGGCGAGAGTTGAAGCAAATGAAAGGAAGGGCTACAATGAAGAGTAGGCCATGCTCACCGCAACTTGGGGAAGCTGGCGTGCAGCAACAAAGACCGACACAGCCAAAAATAAAAAATAAATAAATTAAAAAGAAAAAAAATGGAGGGCTTCCGTGGTGGCGCAGTGGTTGAGAGTCCGCCTGCTGATGCAGGGGACCTGGGTTCGAGCCCTGGTCTGGGAAGATCCCACACGCCGCAGAGCGGCTGGGCCTGTGAGCCATGGCTGCTGAGTCTGCCCATCTGGAGCCTGTGCTCCGCAACAAGAGAGGCTGCGATAGTGAGAGGCCCGCGCACCACAATGAAGAGTGGCCCCCGCTTGCCACAACTAGAGAAAGCCCTCGCACAGAAACGAAGACCCAACACAGCAAAAATAAATAAATAAATTTATTTTTTTTTTTAAATCATTGATTCTAGAAAATGTTTTTTAAAAAAAAAGGAAGGGCTAACATAGATTTTTATTTTCGTGCCTCAGTGTGTGAGGTGCTACACCAAGTGGTGTGTATGTGTATCTAAAGTCTCATTTAGTGCTCAGAACTGCTCTGTAAGGTAGATTTTTATTAGCCCTGCTTTACAGGATGAGGAACTAAGGTTCAAAGAGGTCAAGCAGCTTTTCCAAGATTTAGAGGCAGGTCCCCCTGCTGCTGAAACCTGGACACTCACACTCCCCAGCTGCATTAACCACTGCCCTGCGGTGATGGCGGGTGCAGAGGAGCAGATCAGCAGATCATTGTGAGCCGTTAACGAAGTGAAATGCACAGAACTGGTCACTGATTGGATAAGGAGCTTGTGGAAACAGGGAAATCTATAGGAAGACTCTCAGGTTTCTGGCTTGAGTGGCTGGGGGACTGGAGGTCCGTGAAAAGAATGGGAAAGTCTGAGTCACTTCGCTGTACACCTGAAACTAACACAACATTGTAAACCAACTGTATTTCAATAAACATTTTTTAAAAGAATAGGGAGGTCAGTTTCTGGTCGTGTTAAGTTCAGACTGCCTATGGGACATCTCAGTGGAGAGGTCAGAAGGCGAAGGTCAGAGAGGGAAGAGAAGTGGCTGAATGGGGCTCCTGGACTCTCTTGTCAGTCAGCCAGAGCCCTTGCCCTCCTCGCGGGCTGTGGACTAATGAGGTGTTCTTTGATTGCAGGCTCACCAGGACCAAAGGGGAGCCCAGGCTTCCCGGGTATTCCAGGCCCCCCCGGGCAGCCCGGCCCACGGGGCTCAATGGGACCCATGGGACCGTCTCCTGATCTGTCCCACATTAAGCAAGGCCGGAGGGGCCCCGTGGTCAGTATTTCATCAGAGCTCCCATCTGTAGCTGGGGAAGGCGTGTTCCTTCTGTTAAACTAGGTCCCTTTGTCTTGTAGGGTCCACCAGGTGCCCCAGGAAGAGACGGTTCTAAGGTAAGTCTTCTGAGGGGTCCTTACAAGCCTTAGGTTTCTCAGTTTCCACCTACTGGGCAGGCATCAAGTGAAGCTCAAGCACAGTTTGTTGTCCCCATTTTGCATGTGGCGAAGTTGAGACACAGATACACGTTTTGTCCCCAAAGCTGGGAGGAGAATCCAAAAAGCCATTTTCTTAAAATACGGAACAACCGTCATAACAAAAACAACCACCAAAACCGCTTCTAAGAAAAATTGCCCCCATAAATGTTAAACAGGCCTCCTTGCTGTCATGGTAGCGTGGGTTTTTCTCGTTAGCCAGTGTTATTGTGGGGCTGTTTTGTGTGTGTTCCCATTTCTTTGTGGTGTTTAAGTCAAGAACAGGAGAAGTCCCATTCTGTGCAAGTGGGTGGTTCCACTCTGAGGGCTGCCTGCCACTTGCCTCATACGGAAGTCAGTGTGAGTTACTTTAGAGGCTTCTAAGTTATTCCACACACTGCCTGGAAATACCAGCTTTCCTCCTGTCAGATCTGGTTGGAAAATATATGGCCTCGGGGGAAATCAAAATGAGAGGCAGTTGACTCAAAGCAGCTCGGTTCAAACCAGCGATCCCAAGTGTGCAGCTTAGAGCTTAACGTTTGTTTCCCATAGGAAGTATTTTCTGTTTTGTGCAGGCAGATGGTAGTGGTGGGGGTCTAAATGGAGACTGGGGTGGTGGCATCCATGTTGTCCAGAAAGCTAACCCTGACCCTTCTGTTCCTAGGGGGAAAGAGGAGCACCTGGCCCCAGAGGGTCTCCAGTAAGTAGCACCACCTGTCCTGCTTCCCCAGTGCAGTGTGCTCAGGGCTGCAGCTCTGATGAGCCTGTAAGTTGGTCTTACGAGCAACAGCCAGCCCCTTCCAGCTGTCGCTCAGCTTGCCCACAGAGAACTCGGTGGTTAGAAGAATCACAGAAGCCTTTAGCAGCTGGTTGGGTTTTACTTTTGAAAATTCATTTCCTATTGTTGTTTCTTTTATCATAGCTAATCTTTACTTGGAATGTCTTCTCTTAAGATTCAAAACCCCAGTATGTCGTGAGTCTGTTTCCAGGTATGTCTTACAACATCTGAAGGAGCTAGAAAAGAAATCTACCCTGAATGTTTAAGAATTTAGCCACCACTAGAACCCTAGCAGGTTGGATGACCATCCCCTCCAGAAAGCTCAGACATGCTCAGCTACTCAGGACCACTGAGACAAAATTAGCTGGATTGGATGTATAGTGTCTGGGAGATTAAAAGTGAAAATTAATCGTATCCAAAAGCACAGATGATTCAAGCAACCCCATTGCTTGTGAAGAAGTCAGTGTCACTTCTGAAGAAAGACAAAGATCCTTGACCTTAGAGGTAGGAGGTCTGAGATGCCATCTCCACTCTTCCACCTGTTAGCTCTCTGATCACGGCCATGTCACTTAGCATCCATCTCTGGGTGTCCATCCCCTAATCTGTGCAATGCAGGTGGCATCTGAACTGCCACACCTCAGGTGATCATCCACTGATGTCAGAATGCTCTCCGTACAGCACTGAGTGCTTTGCAGAGTTACGTAAGCTGCTGTCCTGCTGCTTGCTAAGGTGGTGGCTTCAAAGCAGGGGTTGCGGAGGCTGATAAAGGTTGAAGTCCAGGGCTTCCCTGGTGGTGCAGTGGTTGAGAGTCCGCCTGCCGATGCACGGGACGTGGATTCGTGCCCCGGTCCGGGAAGATCCCACATGCCGCGGAGCGGCTGGGCCCGTGAGCCATGGCCGCCGAGCCTGCGCGTCCAGAGCCTGTGCTCCGCAACGGGAGAGGCCGCAACAGTGAGAGGCCCGCGTACCGCCAAAAAAAAAAAAAAGATTGAAGCCCAGAACACGCATGTTCACACATTATTTTCTCATGTTCCACACAGCACATCATAGAAATCAAGGCTTAGTTAATAGTTTATAATGACAAAAGGTGTTCAGTCAGTAGAAGAATTAGGAAGCCTTCGTTTGGACCTTTCCTGGTCAATGAGGAATGGACGCCTTTACCATATACTGAACTTAGTTTAAATTACAGTTATAGGGTTTCCCTGGTGGCGCAGTGGTTAAGAATCCGCCTGCCAATGCAGGGGACACGGGTTTGAGCCCTGGTCCAGGAAGATCCCACTGCTGCGGAGCAACTAAGCCCGGGTGCCACAACTACTGAGCCTGCGTTCTAGAGCCCATGAGCCACAACTACTGAGCCCACATGCCGCAACTACTGAAGCCCACGCACCTAGAGCCCATGCTCCGCAACAAGAGAAGCCACTGCAATGAGAAGCCCACGCACCGCAACGAAGTGTAGCCCCCGCTCGCCACAACAGAAAAGCCCACGCGCGGCAACAAAGACCCAACACAGCCAAAAATAAAAATACATAAATAAATTTATTTTTAAAAATATTGCAGTTATAGTCAACCATCCTTACAGACATTTTAATAATTTCATTTTTAAAAAGATAACATTTAAAAATGTGTTATGCTACATGCCCTGTACATGCATTAACTCATTAAACCCTCACTTATCAAACCCTACAGAGTTAGGACTATTATTATCCCCATTTTATGGATGGGAAACAGAAACCCAAATCAATTAAGTAACTTGCCCAGGGCAACACAGCTAGTAAGTGGCAGAGCTGAGGTTCAAACGCAACAGAACCCCAGCCTCTTAACCACTACTCTCTGCCTTCGTAAGTGTCTTGCAGGGTTCTTTGGAAAGTAACCTACGAGGGTTATTCTCATATTCTGTCATTTTACCGGATTTGATAGCGCCTAGAGCTACGAGAGGTCAGCGTGTCACCATAGCTCATCCGGGAGCTGAAGGAATAGAAGGCAGAATCCCCCAGGCTGTTGTAGTCCTTATGTTTCGTCCCTTTGCAACACAGAGTTGACTTAAGTAGTTGCCGACAAGCAGCAGGACAGCAGACCCCGGAGCCCACGGAAGCCATCAGTCGGCCAGGGGTTGGGTGTGTGGTGGTCTGGCTTTGACACCTCTCTCCCGCGCAGGGACCCCCTGGTTCTTTCGACTTCCTGTTGCTCATGCTGGCGGACATCCGCAACGACATCGCCGAGCTGCAGGAAAAGGTGTTCGGGCACCGGACTCACTCTTCAGCAGAGGAGTTCCCGTTACCTCAGGAATTTTCCAGCTCTCCAGAGACCATGGACTTCGGCTCTGGAGATGACAACCCCAAAAGAACTGAGACAAGAGACTTGGGAACCCACAGAGACTTCTATCCTTAGCACACACCGACATCTTCACGCCAAACGAAGAGAACTGTTCGCCTGCAGTGAAATCATCCAGAGAACAGAACAGAACACCACTTTCTTCTCCATACTTCTCTCATCCCAAACACTATTTTCAGGCTAGACATACTAAAGACAAGAGGGAGGAAATGATTGATTGACTTGCTTCCCCTGGAGAATCTGCAGTGGAACTTTGCTTTGACTTCCTTATCTTCCAGGGACTTGTGATTTCTGAATCAGGTACTCTCACAGTGTCTTAAAATTTGGCAGACTATCAAAAAGGGGCAAGTGGCAAGGTGAGTTCTAAGAAAATGTGAGTTTACTTATTAAAAATAATAGATACGTGTCCAAAATAGACTATTACACCTCAGTGTCAAAGTTAAATCAAGTTAAATGAATTAAATCAAATAATTAAGTCAAATCAAAATTTTCAGTGAAAAGGGGGAGATGACAATGTATATTTATCTTGGTGGATAATTCTTTTTCCTTGTCAATCTAACAGATTTAAAATATTCTGTCCTCTTATCCAACCTTGTTTCCTAATTTTGATTCAGGAAAGGAGAGAAGGAGTGGAGATTAGAAAAGATGGAGAAAAATTACAGTCCCATGTTGACTGTCCTATAAGCTGCCACACACTAACACTCAAGGTGTGACAGTTAAGGGTTCATACCACGCTTATCTATAACTCTCCTATCTGAAGAAGAAAATTACTGTAGCTGTAGGAATAAATTCCATTTTCAAGACAAAAAGTAAGTGAATGCAGTGCCCTGGTTCACATTAGAACAGCGGGCTCCCGGTTTTCCAGGACGTTTTAAAGCTATCTGATCGAATGAGTGAGCTTGCTTAGTAAACCATAGATTATTTGTTAAATAAAGGTAACTGGCCCTCAGGGAGAGGTGCCGAATTCCCTGGCTGTGACCGGGTGCCCACCAGGTGCCATTAGGCTGTGATCCAGGTTGAATCGGTGTACAGTGGAGCTCAGGCTGGAAGAGGCTGCCTGCTCGGGTTGTTGGCCATGGGGCAGGAGAACCTTGGGCAGGGGACCTGCTGCGTCACAGAGGCAGGTAAATTTGCTGTCTGTGGGAATTAGAAACCCTTGTCGGGCCAGCCAAGCTTGCCAGCGTGTAGAGACTAACACATGATTGAAAGATGTCTTGGATGAGGGAGGAGCAAAACAACAGTTTTCCTCGTTTGCTAAAAACTTCCTCCCGGTTTTTCCTTAATTTTCCATAATTTAGTCCTAGTTGCAGTTCTTGCAGGTCTTCTTGATTTCCCTTCCTCGGCAAACACAGGAAGCAGCTGGCAAAGTATATTCCCAAACCTCCCCTGGAGTCAGTGTTTGCTCTTACACTTCTGGGTCCCAGAAGGACACACATTCCGGAAAAGGCTTTCTCTGGAACCACAGGAGCACGAGTGCTCAAGGGAGGGGCAGGAGCATCTGCCACTTTGTAATATTGTTGGGGAACCTCTTGGTTTTAATGGGCAGCCTACAGGCTCCTTCAGGTTCACTTTGTGGCTTTGCCGTTTGACACCCACAATGACGTTTCATCGACCTGTTCAGGAGACCTTTGCCCTTATTTTGAGCTTCACAAAGGACCACTGTTACAACTTCTCTTTGCTCATGTTCCCATTTCCCACCCTGCAGTGTCCCCATGACTTTCTGGGCGGTTTGTGTTCAATTTTCTTTTTCCATCTCCTTTTAGCCTACATCATTTCACTCTCCTGGAGAGCTTGTTTAAAGACAACCACCGTGGGTGTTTATATTGCCACTTTTCAGTCTTTCTTCAGAACAATAGGAAGGGCTTGTGTTTGCAAATCTCAAGTGACACCAGCCTTCCTTCTCTCGTCCCCATCCTGTTAGAGACACAGGGCTCCAGTCAGCCAGCCGCTGGCTGAGTTTTTCACCAACACTTGACTCCGCTGTTTCTTACTCACGCAAAGTCCCCGGTGACTGTTCACCAAAGTGTTACAGCTGAAAGCGAACGCATCCTCAGTGCTCCTTTTCTAGGATCCTTCCTGCCCCCCTTCAGCCTCTCCGGAATCTAATCTTCACAGCAGAAGCCTTCGCCAGCCACGGGTTCGCAGAGAGGAACTGAGCAGATGCTGATTCCCATCTGGTATATATATTTAACATTTGCCTGCTTGTGGTACGCAGTATTTAAAGTGTGTGGATGGTTGAATGCTAAAAAAAAGAAAAATCATGCACAGGCTCTATGAGAAATGATGAGGTTCATCTTTGATTTTTTTTTAATGAAGAATTTAATTACCTTTTTAACCATGAACTGTATGTAGAAATAGAATTTTCTTCTCTGTTGTTGAGTACTCATAAAATGCAGCGAAATTGCGTGTTTAGCCAGAGGCCAGGGTAATATATTAACAGAATGAATGGAAGGTGGTAATATCTGGGATATTATGTGAGACAATTCTGGATAAGATTTTCTAACAAAACACACAGTAACCTGTATTTTATCATCTCAATCTGCTGGATCAGGTCAACTTAGACAATAATGATTTATCCTCAGATTTTCAAAACTTGGACTGCTACCATAGGACTAAATATGTACTCTGTATGCCCAAATTATATTTTTCAAAGATAAGACATAATAAGGCATTGTTACTCCTAATGTGTCTTTTAGCTGTGGGTGGAAAAGCAAAGCTTCACTGTCTAAACAGGACTTCCTCTTAGAACCTAATGGAAAAGGCTTTTGGGGGTAGGGGGCATAAAATTTGCTACTTTTGGTAATCCACTTCATGCGTCATGGGGGAGAAAGGTCTTTGTACACTCCTCGATTCTTTCCCAGAAATGCTGACTTCAATTTTTGCACCCTGATAACTAGAACTTAGAATAGGACTTCATAGATTGCCTCTGTTTCGGAAAGCAATGGGCATAAAACTCTCCTGTTCAAAATAGTGCAAGGAGGGGATACATTTTAGTTTAAGAAAATCCTCCTCCCTTTCCAATTCCACAGGGAGAAAGTATAAGCTTTATGATGCCAAAGCCCACGAGGATACAAAGGGAATGCTGTCTTGTCTCTCCTTCTGTATTAATTCTAACACCTGCCACAGAATGAATTGGTCAACTAAAGTCATTTCTACCGTATAAATGCAGGCAAGTGTGTTCCTAGCCAAACAGGTAAATAACAAATGCACATTGGCATCCAGGGGTCGGGGGTTTGTTACTCCACCAGATACCAGGTGAAGGGCCCCCTGGTTCTGGCCATGCTCCCTTTCTAGGGTTCATACTACTGTCGGCCTCGTGAGGCCTGCTGCCAGGCGTGCAGAGGGAGGATATTCTTCGTGACTAGGCACCAGGCATCTCCTTGGGGTGATAGCAAATCCCTCCTCATACTTTGAGTGTCCCTCGCCCTCTCCCCACTCCAGCCTGTCACAGAGCAGCAGTATCACCTTAACATCTTTCAGATAACCTTTCCTGAAAAGGAAATACATTTGCAGGAATCCAGGCCGAACAACTAGACGAACAGAACCATCTAAAGTTATTAATAGGGGCTTCCCTGGTGGCGCAGTGGTTGAGAGTCCGCCTGCCGATGCAGGGGACACGGGTTCGTGCCCCGGTCCGGGAGGATCCCACGTGCCGCGGAGCGGCTGGGCCCGTGAGCCCCAAAAAAAAAAAAAAAAAAAGAAAAAAGAAAGCATAAAGTTATTAATAACGAGTTCAGGAAATAGATGAAATTTGTCCTGGCACCATCAGCATGTATGTTTCACAACAAATCAAAAAATAATTTTCCATTTGAGGAAAAAACACAAACATGACCATAATTGTTAGCGCATAAAACCTTGGACTTCACGTGCCCCTGCAACAAATATTACTGCTTTAGGGATATCATAGAAAGAAGACCCTTTTACACATCCCCCAGGGGCCTCAGCACTCTATGAGATCCCCAAAGCAAGCACCCTGGGGAATTCCATGTGTGTCGTGACTCTATTTTTATTTCCAGTGGCTAGTCGTATACTTCAGTAGCTATGTTCGTTATTTATAACAGGTCCATATAACAGTTGAGCTAGTATTCAATTATGGATGTGATGCTATGAAATCCTTTTGATAAGATTATATATGCCTAATAACAAAGCTATTTTTCTTACGTGGTTGTATTGTGCTTTATCCTGATGCTCAGTCCTGAAGACGTAGTCTGTTTATCAGATGGATATGAGGTGATGGAGAGACATGTTTCCCTGAGGAGCCAGAATCTGCCTTCCGGGTGGGCCACCTCCTGGGGGAGTGTGGTCCCAACATTTGAGTCTGAGTCAAGGTCTGAGGGCCCAGCTTCCACTGAAGCTGAGTCTCAGAGATCCACGTCCCGTGGATCCAACCCCCGTGGTGGGGTTTTCAAACCAGAAACTCTCTGGGGATCATTGGAGATGCCTTAGGGGGAGGCTTGTGAGGGTTCCACACCTGCCGCAATTCCCACTGCACCATGAACAACTCAGCCTTCAGTTGGATTTGGATTAGGATTCCACGTAAGTTTTCCTTTGGAAGGAAAAAAACGTTGACTACCTAAAAACAGAGGTTACAGTAGAGTTGGGGGAGAGAAAGAAAGCCCCATGAGTTGGTAGCTAAAGTTCCCTTAAGTGAAGATTAAGAGGAGGGGTATTTTCATCAGTTGGGCCACACGGGAGACGGAGTTATGTAGTGAAACGGGAGGTTACTTCTAAGAGATGTACAGCACTCTTCAGCAGGGTGACTTTAGCATCCCAAACTTAGTCTGTGTTTACACATCTCACTTCCCTCTAGCAAACAGTTATCGAATGCTTGCTGTCAGCTGCACACCGCACTTTGCGCAGCAGACACAGGGTAGCAAAAAGTAATAATCCCCATCCTCCTGGGGATGTTTGGCAAAACAGACACGGATCCTTCCAGGCAAAATAAATCAATTACGTAAATATGCAATTACAAACTGTGATCAGTGCTATGAATTCAAAGTACTGCAGGAGCCAGTACCAGCTCGTGCCAGTAGGAACTGCCCTTCAGTCCTGTGCCC